AGCTGTTTCAGGAAACTGCCCCCGAGACAGATACGTGTATGCCAGTTCATGGGATACAAAACCCAACACCAACAATCCCATCTTCCCAAACGGTGGTCTTGTTGTGTTGCCTGAAGGACAGCTGGCGGTGGGAGCCTGGCTGCCATGGAAGAGTCTCCACCCAGAGACACTCAGGAGATGGAAGTGGAGCTCAGTTCTCACCACACACACACACACACACGTTTCCCCCCTCTCACAACTGAAGAGGCAGTGCTCTTCAGCACATAACAATCGGGGACTCTAGCCACACGTGTGTCTGTGTGTGTTTCTTAAATGCGAGTCACATTTCCCACTGACACTGATTTGCAAAGTTTCTAGGTCCCTCTATCTAGAAACTCTTGTATGTCTCAAGAGCTGTGTTGTATACTCTGGATTTTCCTAGGGTGGGATGTGTATGTTTCAAGTGCTTTTTATCGGGGGAGAGTAGAGTGGACTTTTATGGAGGGGATAAGACATTTTAGCTGCTGGAGACTTTTTCTGGTTCTGCAAGAAACCCAGGCTCAAGTACGAGCTGTGCGAATAGAACTTGGCCTTTGACCCTGGAGCTCTAGGCCAGTTCAAAAGGTCCATCTCTTTTTACATGTATAGAGCATTTGTGGTGATCATTGGGTAAATAAGGTAAAGCCCAAAGCCTTTTTTTATAATCCACCTCCCTCCCCATATCTTTTTCTGGCAACCTACAGAGTAAGTTAGGAAAGCATCTGGAATTATTACAATAATAGCTAGTATGTCATGAGCATTTAGTATATGTCAGGCATTGTTCTGAGTGTTTTGGATGGTGTTGGATATACAGCAATTTCTGACTTTTAAAAATCTGTTTTCTCTTGATAGAGACCCCTTTATGTCTTGGGGTCTTTGTTGGTGGTTGTACGGACTAGACAGAACAACAGAATGGGCAGCAGTGGCTTCCTGCTGCCCAGTTAGAGTCTGCCAACCGGAGATGTCTGGGTGGTGTTTTTCTCTCCGTCTTCAGGTCTTTCTTTAAGCCACCATGCCTGTTGGCAAGTAGAGCTACCCTTCAGGATTTGTTGGGGAAGATCTGTATTCCTTTTGTAGCCACCCTTTCTTCCCTGCCCTCTTTGGAGGTGAAGAGCTACAGACTTGGCTGCCTGCCTCCTTCAAAACAACCAGCCTGCTCTTGTCTGCAGTTGGTGTGATAGTGCATCTAACAATGCCCCAAAGTGGCCCTCTTCCCGCCCCCACCACCTGTTCATTGTGGTCCTAGTTCATGAGCTGGTGTGTACAGAGCCCCGCTCCCAGCTTCCGATCACAGAGGTCGGAATCCTCAGACCCTCCAGCCCACGCCTCCCTGCTGCCTTGGCCAGGGCTCAGCCAGCCTTTTCCAGACACTCCCTTCTCCAAGAGACTTTCTTCCTAGGACTCTCCGAAAAGATGAATTAACGGTAAAACGTGCTTTTTATTTATTTTTTAATATATGTTTATTGATTTCAGAGAGGAATGGAGAGGGAAAGAGAGAAACAGAAACATCAATGATGAGAATCATTGATCGGCTGCCTCCTGCATGCCCCACACTGGGGATCGAGCCCACAACCTGGGCATGTGCCCAGAGCAGGAATTGAACCGTGACTTCCTAGTTCACAGGTCGACCTTCAACCACTGAGCCACGCCAGCCAGGCTAAAAGGTGCTTTTTAAGAAGACACTTGTAATGGAAAATGGCTGTCATCTCTTTTACCATACTCTACTCCTAGGCCAAGTGCCTAGACAACAGGGCACCCTGAAGCAGGACTGTCATTGTCACCAAAAATGAACAACAGTGCGTGGCTTTGGGGGCAACCTAGGCCTAAAGCCAGAAGCCGACATGTACTCAGTCTGACTGAGAAGCTGTGTTTTCCAGTCTTCTCTTCTGACCACTGATCTGGCCAGCTAGCCAAGGCACCTGCCCCTGTGGCCCCTTAGCAATAGGGTCCAGCAGTCTGCCCTTGGCCCAGGGTCAAGACCGCAGTAGCAGTGATGGGCCTGGTGAGGTGGATGTGAGGCATGTCCCGGCTTCGGTTGCCAAGCAGGGAGACTGTTCTAAAGAGCATTTGCTCTTTGCTGCGTCAGGGAACTGCCCCAGGCTCCCTTTGGTTCTCTCTCTAGCTGGAAGTTCTTCCGGGCCTTCCTTAGCCCTTCCCCCCTACAAGGCAGTATCCACTCACGGTTCCTCTTCTCCAGCCTCATTCCTCATCTCCACCTGGTTCATATCTCCTTAGCCCAGTGGTTCCCAACCTTATTTTGTCCATGCCCCACCTAAGCATCTCTACCTGATGCCCCCCTGTGACATATAATTCTCATTCAAAAAGTGAACTATTCACGTGGAGGAAGCCTAAAAGGCCATGAACTTGGTCTAAACAAGCTTCCAAAGAACATGGCATCTATGAAAGAGAAAAATAAAAGAACAAAAGGACAGTTGAAGTACTGAGGAAGAAATCACTAAGAAATTGTTTTAAAAAATAGTAATAATGTGAAAAAAATAGAAAATAGTTTCAAAACATAATAGAGAACTGAAATGCATAAATATGTCACAATACATACTTATATAATATGTATGAGGCCTCTAGAACCATAAGAAATGCAAAAAGTTTACTGTGAATAACTCATTTTCGAATTGCCCCCCTTAAAAATCAAATTGCCCCCCTGTGGGGCGTGTGTCCCACGTTGGAAACCGCTGCCTTAGACCTTTCGCCCTGCTCAGCCACCCCAAATACTTCGAAGTAACCCTCTTTTACCTCAAGTCCTCTTGTTTCAAGCCGTCACCCAGGATTTGAAGTTTAGGGAACCCCATTTCTGCTGCCCATGCTGCTTGCAGAACAAAAAAAGTTCCTAGGTTCCATGGGGAACACAGAACTCATTGCCCTGCTGTGGACTGTGGTTAAGATCTTAAATATGGTTAATCGACTATTCACCTACAATGGGGGGCCCTCACGGGCTGGCCCGAGGACACAGCCTCTGTTTCTAACACGTTTCTGTGGGTAAATAGTTCCTTCTCAGAGCAGAACTCTTGGCAAGCTGGGCATTTCTTTGGTAGCTGCAAGAGATTTGCATGTGCTTATGGAAGTGTCCTCGTTACTTTGTAGTCACAGCACCATCTATCACAAAAATTGTCCTGCTGTATGCAAATGACAATGACCAAAAGAAACACACACACCACTTCCTCCCCACAAAGCTTGCCAGAGACCTGTACTCACTTCCCGTGACTGTTCTGCTGGCCAGGTGAGAGTGAACTCTCCATTCTGACCGATCTGACCCGTTGCAGGTGGCGCTGGAAACAGGTGCCCTCGCCTGCTTGGTTTTTAATGTTCTGCTGTGGGAGGAAGAGAGCACCTCTGCCTGAGCAGGAGCAGCCCAGTCGGATTTGTGGAAAGACCAGCCCGTTGAGTTTCTATTGGTCACTTAGGTGGAGCAGCCACATTGTAGCCCAGCCAGGTGGGGACAGTTCCGAGGCGAGTGTGCAGCGATGGCCTTAGGTGGCGTCTTTTCTTCTGCTTCAGCTCTGACCTCTGGCCATGGTGACTTCTGGGGCAGCAAACTTTGTCCCAGTGTTTTTTCTGACATTTCCTCCTCCTTGAACTCCCTCTTTGGAACTGGAGGAGTAGGACAGCAATATTTTCCCCATTTCCAGACGGAGATGCAGTGGGAAGGGGCACTTGCTTTATTCAGCACCTCGCAGTGTCGGAGGTGCCGGCCTGGGTGGGACCCCGAAGGCCCTTGTCCCAGCGCAGGGCTGGGTCTGCTCCCAGCTCAGCACGAATGGTTTAGGAAACCACATTGGAAAGGGCAGAGACAAAGGGTAAAATCGGCACCCAGGTAGCAAGGCTGTTGCATCAATGCTGAGAGTTTTTGGCTTTTTGTTTTTTGTGTGTGTTTTAAGATCTCGTGCTTCTCTTTTACTTTGTGTTGGCAAAAACCCTGGGAGAAGATGGGAGATTCTGGAGGAGATGATTATGCTGGGTGAGTCAACTGAGCTCCCAGCTGCTGTTTTTAGTTCCTTTGCTTTTCTGGACTAGGAGGCAGTTTGAGGAGGGGGGAGGGGCAGGGGGCAGGGTGTGGTTGCTGATTTGTGTAGCAGGACTCGGAGGCAGGTGTATAGGTGACATTTTTTGGCCATCTCGGGCCTTACAATCAGTACGTTGATTCAAGGAAGAAATTTTAAAGCAGAGCTCTCAGTGTGGCAAACAGTAAATAAATGTTTTCTCCAAGTCCCTGTTGCTTTCCCAAATCAGTACCTCTTAGAATGGCTCCAGCAGCACTGCCTTGTCACAGCAGGACACAGTGGCCCTGATAGCAAAGCCGTGGAAGGATTGAGTTAGAAGCAGAGAGAACTGTCTGAAGTGAGAGAGCCTGGTGGTGGTTGGGCAGCAGGAAGTTTGGAGGAGAGGGTTCCCCCTCTGTGATGAAAGGAGGGTTTGGGCTTGATTGAGGGGGGCAGAGACTGGGTGGGGGGGGGCGCTGCTGGTTCTGGGCTGTGCCTGTATCTGAATCTGTCTCCAGATTGCCTTGAGCTTTGTGTTAGGAGGAAGCACAAGGCTTTATGCCCACATGAGGAGGCTTGTTGATGGAACAGACACTCCAGTTGTCATCTGTCCACGGGAGAGGGGATCGCGCACTCGCTGCCCCTTGGAAGCTGTCTGCAGAGTACACTGGTGACGTCCTAACATGTTTTCTCACTCGTTTTTACACATTTATTTGTGCAGTACCTTGTTGAATACTTCCGCCATGTGCTTAGGCGTTGTTGTGGGCCATGAATTAGACAGACCAGGGTCCCTCCCTTTGTAGAATAGTATAGTGGGAAGGGCAGACAGTAACCAAGCAACTTCACAGGGCAACAGATATCCTGAAAGAGGGGAGAGGGGTTTTGTGGCAAGAGGTTTTGATCTTCTTTTCTCTGCTCTTGTCTTTTCTCCTGGGGGACAGAGGGGTAGGGTGACTTCAAGGCCAAAAAGTTGTACCACTTTGATTTGGTAAGTATAGTCAAACCTCGGTTCTCGAATGTCTCCCATCTCGAACAATTCGCTTCTCAACCTGACAACCCTTTCATGAAAGCTATATGACCAGTCACAAGTCTCTCAGGCGACAGAGAAGAGGATGCCCGAGTATGAGCCAGTTTACCACGGTTAACATCTCGGGATATTGTGCTATGAATATTTTTGTGTGTGTGTGTGTGTTTTTTGTTTTTGCTTTTGTAGCTGCTTATTATAATTATTAAATTTTCATTTTTATTGTACATTTCCTTTTTATTAAATTTTCTTTTATATGTCATGTCCTTTTTGTTTTTAAAGTGTTTATTTATAGATTAGACATGTACTATATATACAAAAGGTTAAAACAGGGAATCATTTGGGGGTCTGGGACGAATTAATTCAATTTACATTATTTCTAATGGGAAAAAATGATTCGGTTTTTGAATAGCCTTCTGGAAATAATTAAGTTTGAGAAACAAGGTTCCACTGTATTTTAACATGGGCCAGCTAGGTGCAGGCACTGTTAGGCACTAAGCGCATACAGAAGTGAGCAAGACATTGTCTTGATCACTCAGAGCTCATGGAAACACAAAGTCAGAAGCAACAAACGGCTACAGATAGGATGGTGTGAGAGTCCAGAGCGGGAGAGATCACTCGCAACTGAGAAGCTATCTTGATAATTCTTTAAACAAAAGGGATTAAGAGGGCTGACTTACCTGGACCACTTAAAAGAAGGCATTATGTGGCAGCTGGTGCTTTGCTTTAGTGAGTATCTGTGGTAGCTCTTGCTACCATAGCTCAGATCCCTTTCCTACCGCCCCAGGGCGGTAGCTGGGGTCCCACCACAGGGCTAACTCCAGAGGACGCCCTCCGCTCCCACACCAGATGCAGGCAGGCAGTGTGCTAAAAACATGAATTACTTGCAAAGAAAAGGAAGTTCGAGGGAGGCCCAGGCACCTCAGCTGCACTGGTTAGTCTCCATGAGCTCCCACAATCCTCTGTGGAATGAGCCAAACCTTTCTGCTGCAGGCTGCCTTCTGCCTCCCCCAGAGCCCGGGCTGCTGGCAGGCTGGCTCTCCTGTGATATGGAGGAACTTGTTGGTCTCCATGGTTACAGTAACCCACTGGTACGGGAGGAGCTGAATGGAGTGTGAGGCTGGCAATGTGAGCTTCCCCCAGCCCTTGGCACCCTGTGGTACGGGTCTGAGGCTGTTTCTTGGGGCTTGTCTGGAAGGAGTTAAGGAACTGACGAGGAAGGGAAGAACAGGCACCCCTCCGTCCTCCTCTGGGCTACTCAGGGCAGAGATGGGTGCCTTCTCGCTCATCCACTCGTCTTGGCAGGAGTGGTTTCATGTTAGGAAAGGGTCTTCTTTACGTGACAGCCCAGCCATGGTAGAATTATGACTTGATTCTAGAAGGAATACCAGCTTTGCCACTCTGGTACTTGTAGTCAAGATCTTGGAGATTAAAGCTCTTCTTAGGGCTCAGAGAATCCCTTGAGATGAGAAGAACGGTCCTACCTGAAAGTAAAGAAATTGGGAAATATTGTCGAGACCTTACCGTGTACCAGCACCAAGGCCCAGGCAGCACCATGTCCCAGCCGCACTGACCCTGTGAGTGTGGACAGCCAGTGGCCTCGTGTCCCAAGTGAGGACACAGACTAAGAGAAGGCAAATCATCTTGCTCCGTCAGCTGGTAAGGACCAAAGGCAGGACTCCCTCCCACTCAAGTCCGTCTCTCTCCAGAGCCTCTCCTCCCATCATGCAGCAGGCAGAGAGGCTGCAGTGAGTCTAATGTGCAGTCCCCTCCCTAAGTTCTAGAAGGCGGGAACCAGGTCTCTGAGCTTTGCAATGGCCCTGGCTCCAGAGGTAGGCACTCAGCAAAGGTTTGCCGAAGCGACAGCAGTAGTTGGGGAATGAGAGAGAGCTCCCTCCGTGGACTCCACCAGTGTTTCAAGCGACTCTGATGACAGGACGTTGAGGGGTGCTCATTGTATTGTGGCTTCAGTGAACTAAGGAGGGTGAGCTGGAGGTGGCTCAGTCTGATCTCATGCCAGGTCAGCTCTTGCCTGCTGGACTTCCCAGGCAGGCCCTGGCTTCGGCTGTGGCTGCTTTGAGGCCCGCAGGCTGCTCCCCTCGTGGCCCAGGCTGCAGTGCTGGTCACCCTGGCTGGGGATGAGGCTTGCAGCCCAGGGTGTTAAAGACGCTGCCTTTACTTCAGTTTCAGGCTCTGCTTGTGTCCTTTGTCAGGGAGGCACCTGGCTGGAGAAAGGAGTAGCCCTTTGACTGTTTGCCACAGCTTCACCTCCTCTCTGCAATGGGGTATTAAGGAATGGGGGTCCCCCAGGTGCAGCCATCACAGTTAGCTTCAGGGGTGTGGGAGTTGCATCCAGCCTCCCCACTGGTCAGTATTTACCACAGCTTTACAAGATCTCCTACCCAGAATGCTCCACTGGTTTATTACCTCCTGGCAGTTGAGAGTGACAGTTATTCAGGATCAAAGGATGCAAAGAAAGCGCTTGGATGCAGTGAAGGAGGAAGGGTTAAAGAGCTAGTGACTTACTAGGGCCGTGTGACTTTGCAGCTTAGTCCAACCCCGTCTGCCCTGGCCTCTCTGAGGTCAGTGCTTGGTACTTCCTCATATAGAAAGCCCCTTCCTGCCCGGCAGATAGGACTGAGGAAACCACCTTCCAGTCGCTTCTGAGTAAAGGGGCAGGTGGTCCCAGGCCAGCCTGAGCCCACGGTCCAGGTCAGGGCCCACTTTGGAAAGGAGTGGTCCACTTAGGGGACCACCTGGGAGGCCTTTAAAACAGCCCTCCACTGCTGACCTTGCCAGGCAGTGGCCTTCCTGTGGTCCCAGCACCTTTCCTGCATCTTCACCTCTTCACCTCTCTGGTCTGGAGGAAGAGCCAGGGACTTACCTTTTGGGGGAAGTAAAAGCAGATTAGGCATCAAGAAGGGTTGATGGCTGGTTGAGGGGACAGCAGAGCACTCAAGTGGGCACAAAAGCCCTGGGCTCAGTCCCAGCTCTGCCTGGGAGGCGCGGGACCCTGGGCAGGTCTCTTCACTCCTGTGCTTCAGTGTCTCATCTGTAAAGTGTGGGTCCTGCCTACCCCGTCGGCCTCTGGTGTGAACACAGCAGTGCTTGCTGGCAGACGTTGCTATCAGAAATGCCTGATCTCATGTGTAAGACAAACGCTGAAGTAGTGTGATCTTCAGGTGTCTGTGCTCAGGTGTGGGAGGGCACCGAGGGGATTGTGGCCGACCAGCATGGGGTCTTTAAGGTGTTGCTTCATGGGAAGGATCCTAGCCTAGGGTAGTGGAATGAATGGGAAGTAGATGGCGAGCCAGAAGCAAGGCCAGGATCAGAACCCAGAGCACAGACAAGGTCAACGGGGGCTTTGCCGGAGGAAGTGTGAGGAAGGGCTGCCTCAGGCCCTAGGACAGTGATGGCGAACCTGTGACACGCGTGTCAGAGGTGACACTCGAACTCATTTTTTTGGTTGATTTTTCTTTGTTAAATGACATTTAAATATATAAAGTAAATAGCAAAAATATAAGTCTTTGTTTTACTATGGTTGCAAATATCAAAAAATTTCTATATGTGACACGGCACCAGAGTTAAGTTAGGGTTTTTCAAAATGCTGACATGCTGAGTTCAAAAAGTTCGCCATCACTGCCCTAGGAGCTTGTAGAGAGCAGCCTTGTTGTGTGTGTGTGTGTGTGTGTGTGTGTGTGTGTGTGTGTGTGTGTGATGGGGGCGCTGGAGGTTGGTGGGAACTTAGGGATAGATTCCCAGAAACATGGTTGGAAGGGACTTAGAGGGACATTTCATTCTTCAGCCTTTGGGTAAAATTTAGAACCCAAAGACCTCTAAAGGGCTCACTGGATCCCTGGACCCCCTGAAATTGGTCCAAGATATTTTGCGTGTAAGTCACATGCATTTTTCTAAGGCTACCAGCCGTGGGCAAACTACCGCCCGCGGGCCGGATCCGGCCCGTTTGAAATGAATAAAACTAAAAAAAAAAAGACCGTACCCTTTTATGTAATGATGTTTACTTTGAATTTATATTAGTTCACACAAACACTCCATCCATGCTTTTGTTCCGGCCCTCCGGTCCAGTTTAAGAACCCATTGTGGCCCTCGAGTCAAAAAGTTTGCCCACCCCTGGGCTAAACACTGCTTTTTGTGGACTAAGGGTCCATCTGCCACTGCTGGATAGCTGGGTTCTGCCACCTGTCCCCCAGCCTTGTTCTTGGTGGGTGGTTTGCTGGTCTTGCCCCCTCTGGGTCAGCATGTCTGATTCACATACTCCTCTCTACCCTGCCTCCGACTTCAGCCTTTTCCCAGGTCCCACCTGCCGCAGGTGAGATAAGGACTTTATGACAGCCCTGGCTAGAGTGAGTCTCCTCCTCTCCCAGCTGTTACCCAGCAAAGCACCTTGGGGAGGGTGGGGCAGCCACTTCCGGCGAGGGGGAGGGGAAGGGAGAAGGAAGTTGATCTAAACCCGCCTCTTTCTCTCTTAGTCTCCCTCCTTCCTGGTCCCCTCCTGCCCCTTTCCTCCCACCTTGCTCCCGGTGTCGTGTCCTGAGCTGTATGTATTTCCTGGCTACGAGGGCCTGGCCCGCAAGAAGCCGCCGGCTTGTCCCCGCCGCTCTCCTTGCCAAGCCCGGGCTCTCTGCTAGTGGTAGTTTCGGTTGCGACATAGTCCAGGTTCCCAGGCAGGAGCCGCTGGGCCTGGCTGCTTTGCTGCTTTTCACTGAGGAGGTGGTGGAAGGTGTCGCCTGCTTCGGCTGAGTAAGGGTGGCTGGCGGAGCGCCCCCGCCCTGGGCCTGGCTCTTCCCGGCCTCTGTACTTTGCCCTCGCTGCCTGACAGGTTCTGCTGTGGCTCTGCTGGATGGAAGTTGCTGGTAGTCCTTGTCCCTTTCTCCAGCCGGGTATGTTTTCCTCTTTTTTTTTTTTTTTGCTCTGGGATTGCCCTTTCCTCTTCTTTCCCTCCCACCCAAACACGGGCTCTTTGAAGAACTGCTAGCACTGTAGTGAGATTCATGGGAAGGTGAAGAGGCATTGGCCAGGAAAGGAAGAGCAACCACCAACAGAAGAGTCTCCCCTAAGATCGAGTCAGCAGACTCAGCCAGAGTGAGAGGAAGGGGTGGTGGGGCAGAGGCCCAGGGCGGGCTCACGGTACTACAGTGAGGGAGACTGCATCTGGGGTGGCCGCCCAGGGCTGGTGCCAAGGGACACTTTCTCCCTCCACTCCACA